CGGACTCAGGCAATCCACTCACCTCAGCCTCCCAAAGTGCGAGATTACAGGCTGAGCCACTGAGCCTGGCTTAAGACTTCATTTCTACAATAAATAAAAAAATTAACTGGGCATAGTGGCGTGTGCTTGTGGTTCTAGCTACTTGGAAGGCTGAGGCAGAAGGATTGCCTGAACCCAGCAGGTCAAGGCTGCAGTGGCCATGAGCATACCACTGCACTCCAGCCTGGGCAACAGAGTGAGACTCTGACTCAAAAAAAAAAAAAAAAAATGCAGTGGTTTCCCATGGGGGAAATGGCCCTGATGTAGTCCTGCCTATTAGCACATTTTTCCTTTGTGAAATACTCTTGGTCTTAGCCAACACAATTTTGTCCCTTTACTCAGAAAATATTAGCAGTTATGTTCTAACACTTGCCATTTTCTAATCTACCTTGGCTTTTTTATCTTCCAGGTTGGCCTGGGCTAAATCATCTGAAGATCCTAGGATTGCTGCAGGTCAACAGTCCCCACTGGAGAAAAAGATCTCGGTAAATAAATTAACTTCACATCATACACTTTGGAACTACTCGGAGAGGGAATCTTAGGTTTAAAATTTTTCTCCCCAAGTGACACCTACATGTGGTATGTCTACACTGGAAGACATTTCCCAGATACATTCACAGTTACAAAACAAAGTATCATTTTGAAAATTCCCAACACAATATGTTTTTAAAACTAGTTTTTGATTTGTGGGTATTTTTATTTTTTTAGTTGGAGTCCTATTCTGTCACCCAGGCTGGAGTACAGTGGCATACTCACAGCCACTAGAGCCTCGACCTGCTAGGCTTAGGTGATCCTTCTACCTCAGCCTTCCAAGTAGCTGGAAGCACAGGCATGCGCCACCATGCCCAGCTAATTTTTTTATTTATTATAGAGACAAGTTCTTGCTAAGTTGCCCAGGCTAGTCTCGAACCCCTTAGCTCAGGCAGTCCTCTTATCTTGGCCTTCCAGAGTGCTGAGATTACAGGTGTGAGCACCACGCCCAGTGATTTGTGAGTATTTCATATTTTCAGAGCTCACTGGCTCACCTGGGAGTAACAGAAATAAAATTACAATTATTAGACTAAAGTAAATAAAAAAGCATGTAGCTTTTCCTGATGTCAGTAGGGAGGGTAGCCTCCTGTTTAAATGTGTTCAAAGGAAAAAGATGATCACATTGTAAAATGACCCTCACTTTGACAGAATCTAGGTGGTGTGCACACAACAGCGGCAAGGCAGTTGGTAACTCAGAAATATCAAGAAGAGTATGAAACACTCTGCAGGGAGCAAGCTCTTTCTCTTGATTACTGGCTCGCCAAAGCAGAGTCTTATTATAATAAAAGAATAGTGGAAATGATGAAAAAGGAAGAGATAGGCAATGACGATAAGAAGAATATGGAGGAGAAAACAATCCAAAGCATAGAAGGACGCAAACAGTACTATTTGGTACCTGAAAGAGAGTTGAAACACATAGAAAGGCACATACATCGAACAGGTCCGGCCAGAGAAGTTAAAAACAAAACATGTAGACAAGTACTTCGACCTCCCTGTGAGACAACATTACCAAAAATTATACCAGAAGGGCATGGCATACAGGACACACAGAGAAGAAAGCAGGTAAATGAGAGGGAACAGATGCAAATCAAAGATCACCAGGAACGCATGATTCAAGGGAGAGAACTTCTAGAGCAAAGACTAAAGGAAAGAATCTTGAGAAAAAGCCAAAGCCAGCCACCTACACATGAGAAGCATGAGAGAATAAAGAAAGAAATAAAAGAGTTTGAAAGAGTTATTGCATATCCACTTTTCCAGCCACACAGAAGTCGGATTAAAGTGAATATTCTTATGGAAAAGTCTCAGAATGGAGAAGAAGTGAATACAATTATGAAACCATATCAAAGAAAATTCTTGGCTGTGCCACCGTTTTTGAGAAGTCAACTAGGAAAAATAAAAGACTAGTAAGGCTTCAATGCCTTTTATGTTAAAATAATGTCTCTTAAGTGAACTTTTTTTTTCCTTTGAGTCGAAGTCTCACTCTGTCGCCCAGGCTGGAATGCAGTGGCATGCTCATGGCCACCGCAGCCTCGACTTGGTGAGGTCAGGTGATCCTCCCATTTCAGCCTTCCAAGTAGCTGGAACCACAGGTACGTGCCACCATGCCCGGCTAATTTTTTGATTTATTGTAGAGACGAGGCCTCACCATGTTGCCCAGGCTGGCCTCAAACCCGTGGGCTCAGGCAATCCTCTCGCCTCTGCCTCCCAAAGTGCTGGAATTACAGATGTGAGCCACTGCGCTCAGCTTAAGTGTACCCTTTTAAAAAAATGATAATTCATAGCTCCCTAAGGTTCAGTGAATATTCCCATTTGAATCAGATACAGAAGTAGAAGTTAGTTCTGGACTTGAAAACTAGCTTAGCTGTTTTTAGTTGTCTTGCATTTGTTCAAGTTGCTTATCCTCTCTGATGTTCAGTTTCCTCATCTGTGAAGTGAGAATAATATTTCATAACATTTATGCAGAGCTATGATTTTTGTGAAACATAAGTCTGTATTGTTTCATGAATGTTAGTTTCTCCATTTGGGAAGACCAGGGTTGGAAAATGGTGGTGAATGAGGAATTGTTCTAATATGCCTCTCTCCTCCTTGTTTCCCAACTTTCCAAGGTTATTTTGATGAAATTCCTATAGTTCAATCTTTAATTTCCCATTCATACCTTCATCTGAGAATGAATGACTAGGCCCTGAAAGTCTAACTTGCAGTATATGATTTTTTTTTTTTTTTGAGGCATGGCCTTACTCTTGCCCAGGCTGGAGTACAGTGACCTAATCATAGCTCACTGCAGCTTCAGCCTCCTGTGCTTAGGAGATCTTTCTGCCTCAGCCTTTGGAGTAGCTGGGACCACAGGTGAAAAAAATGTCAAGGTCATCCAAAACAAGGAAAGTCTGAGAAACTGTCACAAAGCAGAGGAGGCTAAGGAATCGTGAATGTGACCAAATGTAATGTGGTGTCCTGGATGGGATCTTGAACAAAAAAAGGATGTTAGAAAAAGGTAGCAAAATCTAAAAATAAAGTAGGCATTAGTAACAATGTGTCAATATTGTATCATGAATTGTGACAAATGTATGATAAAGAAAGAATGTTAATAATAGGGAACATTGAATGTGGGATATACAAGAGCTATGTATGACTTTTGCAACTTTTCTGTAAACCGAAAAGTATTCTAAAGTTAGAAAGGTTTTTTTTTCCTAATAGCTCTCAGTAAAGAATTAGAGAGTGGAAGCAAAAATTAACTACTTTTCATTTTTCCAGATTGTTGTCATCAAGGGACCGTCAAGAGGGGTTGTGGGGAGAAGAAATAGAAATCTCACAAATGGGAGGATTCCTTCCTGGAACTCTCCTTTTAATGAAGTAGGCTAGGGAACACTTTAGGACTGTAGGAAAGTTTTAAGCCCTTGCTAAACCACACCTGCAAGTAAGCAGCCTAGCTATACTACACCTATCGAACTTTACACCTATCGAACTGTTAGACCCTTATCAAAAACACCTACAGTAGTATAATCTTTTTATCCAGGATGCTTGCAATCAAGAGCTGACCATCAAGGCAGGAACTTAGAGACCCCCTAGAGCATGCATGTAAGTAGCCAAGGTTGACCTAAGATAACCACGACCCACTTTTACCTTCATTATATGCTCATTATAACATCATTAGTATGTGATTTTACAATATCTCCACCCACCATGACAGTCTTGGTAAGAGTCCTGAAATTCCCCTACCCTATGGGAGGGAGTAGTAACAAAAATTCAGTCTTAAACCCATCCATTTCAGCCGGGCTCGGTGGCTCAGCCTGTAATCCCACGCTTTTGGGAGGCTGAGGTGAGTGGTTTACCTGAGCCCATGGGTTCGAGACCCCCCTGGGCAACTTGGCGAGACCTCATCTCTACAGTAAATCAAAAAATTAGCCAGTCATGGTAGCGCATGCCTGTAGTTCCAGCTACTCGGAAGGCTGAGGCAGAAGGATCGCCGGAACCCCGCAGGCGAGGCTGCGGTGGCTGGGAGTGGCTACTGCACTTCAGTCTGAGTGACAGAGTGAGACTCCAACTCAAAAAAAAAACCCCATCCATTTCTAGGAAAACCCCCCCGAAAAACCAACTCCTTAACACCCACAAGAATAAAAGTTATAGCTCAACAATACCTGGGGGCAGAAGCAGCAGCTTTTTGTAGACTGTTTCTGCCTGTCCCCCTTTCTTGGGAGTGTACTCTTCTTTTGTTTAATAAAGCTACTTGCTTAACCCACTTCTCTGTATGTTTGCAAATTCATTCCAAAGGAGAACATAAGAACCTAATGACAACTCTCATGCCAGAACAGCTCCCCTTTTCCCGTTAACGCTCTCTGCCTTCTGTGCAGTCCAGGGCTACTCAGAAAGCATCTTCATCCCCCCTTATTGTTGCCCAGCCTCCAGGTCAGCCATCTCTGTCCAGTTTAGGCCACAGCTTAGTCCTCTTTGGATTGTTCAGTCCAAATCCAAGAGAGCAGAGCAGCGACACCCATGTGACCACAGATCTGAGAATAGAAGACCGGAGCTCATCTTTGACCTCCTTAAGTCGAGACCTTCCCAGGATCATCCTTGGCTCTCAGCAGCTGGACAGAACTAAGTACACAACAGGGGCGCTTCCATTCCGTGGTTCCTCTCCACTAAGTGACTGTACACTTCCTCAGGGCAGAGTGAGGTCTCCATGCTATGACAGCTGGTTCCTAGGTCGGAGGTGGGCCACACAAACTGTCCCTTGTTTGGCTCCTGTTTCCAGGGATAAATACACCTCATCCTGGGGACCAACACCCAACTCTACATCCCTGGAATAGGAGAGGGGTAAGGAAATCCCCAGAGTATTGGCCTAGGGAGATGGAGAGGCTACTTGAGAAGTGGAAATAGGGAGAAAATAGGGACATTAAGGGGAGGGAAGCCAAAGGATTGGTGGAGGAGGAACCAGAGATATGAAGAATAAAAAGGAGTAGCTTAGGGGACACCCATGTGGGAGGTTTTGCTAGAGGAGTGACTCAGAGGTTTATAGGTAGGGTTGCTGTTTTTCCACATGGATGGTTATTACAGAGGTGCCTGTTTTACAACCTGATCAGAAAACACTTAAATTTTAGGCAATTTTCTGCTTATAGAAAGGTATAATTTACACATGAAGAAAGGGGAACAGAGAGAAGTGATCGTAGGAATGAGGTTCTGGTTTCCTTGATAGCTATCAGCTGAGGGTTACTCAGTTTCTGGAGATTTTCTGTGTTCTTTTGCTCATGACCCTTCTATCTTGAAAGCCAGTGATGGTATCTTTAATATTTTGCTTTGTATTTTTCCAATTTCTCTTCGGTCTTTCATTTTTTCCTGCCTTTAGGAGTTCATGTGATTAAACAATTTCTCTATTTTGTTGTCAATTGACTTGCGACTTTAATTACAACTACAAAATCCCTAAATAGCAGTACAGGTGGTCCTGATTTTTGATCGTTCAACTTATGGGTTTTCAACTTTATGATGCTGTGAAAGCAATGTGCACTCAATAGAAACTGTATTTTGTTGAATTTTGATCTTCTGGGCTAGAAAAATGCGATATGATAATCTCTTCTGATGCTGGCCAGCAGCAGCCAGCCATAGCTCCCAGTCAGCCATGCGATCAGCAGAGTAAACAGCCAATACTGTACAGTGTATCATACTGGATAAATTAAGATTATCTTACTATTATTTATTTTTTTTAGAGACTTGGTTTCACTCTGCTGCCCGGGCTGGCATGCAGTGGCATAATCCTAACCTTGAACTCCTGGGCTCAAGTGATCGTCCCACCTCAGCCTCCTATGTGGCTAGAACTATAGGCATGTGCAACTACACCTAGCTACTTTAAAAAATTTTTTGTACAGAAGAGGTCTTGCTATGTTGCCTAAGCTGATCTCAAACTCCTAGCCTCAAGCGATCCTCCTGCCCCAGCCCCCTGAGTAACTGGGACTATAGGTGCATGCCACCGTGCTTGGCTAATTTTTTAACTTTTTTGTAGACGAGGTCTCACTGCTGCCCAGGCTGGTCCTCTGAGCATGTTCAAGGTAGGCTAGGCTGAGCTAAGATGTTCAGTAGGTTAGGTGTATTAAATGCATTTTCCACTTAATATATTTTCAACTTAAAATGTGTTGGGCTGAGTGTGGTGACTCATGCCTGTAATCCCAGCACTTTGGAAGGCAGAGATGATAAGATTGCCTGAACCCAGGGGTTCAAGACCAGCCTGGGTGACTTGGGGAGATCTCATCTCTACAATAAATGAAAAAAAAATTAGCCAGGCGTGGTGGCTCACATCTGTAATTTCAGCTACTTGAAAGGCTGAGGTGGAAGCATCACATGAGCATAGCAGGTCGAGGCTGAGCTAGCCATGAGCATGCCACTGCACTCCAGCCTGGGCAAGAGTGAGATTCTGACTAAAAAAAAAAAAAAAAAATGTGTTTATTAAGACATCACCTCATCTTAAATTGAGGAGCATCTGTACTTAGATCAGTATCTGACTTATACTGATGCCCAAGGGAGGGCATTTTGAGGGGGGAGGGCATCTTGAGGGGAGAGGGCATGTTTAAAATTCTGCCTATCAGCCGGGCTCTGTGGCTCAGCCTGTAATCCCACGCCTTTGGGAGGCTGAGGCGAGTGGATTGCCTGAGCCGCAGGTTCGAGACCCGCCTGGGCAGCGAGACCTCATCTCTACAATAAATCAGAAAAATCAGCCGGGCGTGGTAGCGCATGCCTGTAATTCCAGCTACTTGGAGGGCTGAGGCGGAAGGATCGCCGGAGCCCAGCAGGTAGAGGCTGTGGTGGCTGGGAGCGGCCACTGCACTCCAGTCTGGGCGACAGAGTGGGACTTCAACTCAAAAAAAAAAAAAATTCTGCCTATCACAGTAAATGTGTTTCCCATTAGAATAGTCTTTTTCCTTAAAGTGTCTGAGGTGAGGTAAAGGG